AGACTAGAAAATACTACACAAACAGTGAAAACAGAACAACTACAGCCTCATAGAAAAAAAGAAAATTAAGATAAAACATTAGAATGGCATGTCCAATTACCCAATGTACAGCCATGCAGAAAGCCATTGCCTTAGCCCTAATCCGGCTAGGGAATATCTCTGATAGAAGGAGGCTAGGAACAGGCCCAGCACCCAAGGCAAAAGTCAAAACAAACCTATACAAATGCAAGGAATATTCATCTGATCACTACTCATCCACCTAAATAAAGTCTCGAAGATAGAAATAGATGGGCAAAACTATGAAGATTTCAAATAAAACACAACTTCAGTAAGAGATACTAAATTACGGATGGTTTTCCTAGTCTCATAACATCATCATAAGAATTATACGACATATTAACCACGAATATGAACTTATAGCTACCATTTTCTGACAAGTGAGAAACTCACATTAGCATCCCACCAACAGAAAGGTATAAATTTTGAGAGTCTGACAAGATATCACTAGCCCCAATAACTTGAAAACCCATAGCCACTGCCTGAACCAGAATGAACAAACAAGATCCCAATCAAAATATTGATAAGGTATTCCGAAAGTTAAGTTCATTAATTACCAGCCCCCGAGTGATCTATATATTTCCATTTTCAATAGTTCAGGATATGCTATTCTTTTCAATCTTGCAATAGAAATAAGGGGTAATGAAAATTATACTCACCATGCCCAAGAAACTCCAAACAAGAAGTAGCTTCCTTCCTAATTTATCCATCAGAATCATAGCCACAACAGACCCTAAAAGAATCGCAATTAACAAGCTATAAACAGAAATGGAAGACGCAGAAAAAAATAAAAAAGAAGAATTTTGAAAAGAAAAGAGAACTGAAGAGAGAATATATTTTGCATAATTGCAGCTTTTACCTGCTATGTTCACTATTCCGACACATATGTTCCCAATATCAGAAGGGACTCCAGCTTTATTAAAGACAGTTGAAGAGAAATAAAATACAGCATTTATGCCCGATAGCTGTTGTAGTGCAAATAAAGCTGACCCAATGAAGACCACTGACAAAATAAAGTAATAACATAACCAATCCAGAACAAGGAATTATTTATGCCAAATTATAAAACTAAGTGATCATAGCAACATCTAATGAGTATTATGAGTTTGTATTTCATTTAACTTCGAATTCATCAGTCAAAATGGAAACTAACAACCTACCTCTAAAGTGACGGCCATGGAGTAAATCTGAAAATTTGACTACATCCACGTCATCCCCTCTATCTGATTTTGATAATTCTGCCATTGCAGATTTAACATGTGATGCCCCCATAAGCCTCTCGAGTTCCTCTTCAGTTTGAGAAATTTTTCCCCGCTGAACCAATTAAAATTACTCTAATTGAGTTGAGGAAAGGGAAACCAAGCCAATGCATGATGACCAATTACGCACAATGCCAAACAAAAATAAAATGACAACAGTTCTATCATTATAAATTCAACAAACAGAATTTTCATAAAATACAATGCATGCGGGTGGTTATGCGCTGCAAAAGGACAAGTCAGAGATAAACTGGCTACATCAAGCATCAATCCAAATGCCTCACAGTACAAACTATTAATGCCATCTCCGCAACGAAGGAAATAGGAATAGGATCCAAAGCAACTGTTGGAAAGTAAGCAGCACCTTGAAAAGCCAATGTGGAGACTCCGTGGAGAACTCCATTAAGAAAGCCAGTAATGTAGCAGGAATAGCAGATACCCAAAAACAAACTCTCCACCTACAAGAACCATTCAATAACCAATGTAAGATGCTTCAACAAAGGATGTTGGAAATCCCTCTAATCTAACGACTATCCACAACAAAAGCAAGTTTTAGCTTGTGCAACATGGTAAAAGTTTATTTGCAAGCACTACTATCGAGATTAATTAATCATGGTTCATTTATATAGTGGGAAGCTGAAAACATCACGTATTGTACTAAACCTACTAATTCCTCGTGTCAAGCCACTTACCAGCCAGGAACGTTTTTGGCTGGAATCCCTGTAACTAGGGCTGTCATAAGTCCAAGACATGTTGCAATCTGGGTGAAGCTCCCATATGTGCCCCTCACAAAAGCTGGTGAAACCTGCTCAAGAGAATAAATGATGTATAAGCGAGTAGTTCCCATGACAAAATAAGACTAGGGGTGCTGCCATAGTTTATACCTCTGATACATAGAGAGCAGCAACAGGAGGACCAAGACCCATTCCTGTTCCAACAAAGAACCTACCCAGAAGCATGACCTCCAGACTACTTGTGGTGGCACTGTTAGTTTGGTAAAGAGATTTCACGTTAAAAATCATAGGCAGAGAAGTTTAAGAAAATAACAAAGAGAACGAGAAAGTTGCGAAATGTTTCTGTTGCTGTTTGTGATTTAAGTTCAAATAATTTTGTCAATAGAAGATGGAATGAAAATGAGACAGTCACAAACCTATCTTCAGGTTAGGAGTAATTATTTAAGAAAAGCAAAGGGAAAAATAAAGTCCCAAACATTTTAAAAAAAGATACCAATCAAGTTCCTTTTTTAAATTTATTTAAACTCAGAGTAAGTTTTCTGAATCCACTATTTCTCAAATTTGGAAACGAGATTGTTTACCTCATGGAAGCCCCAATGATCATAGGTAAAGCACATAACTGGAATGCTCTCCTACGACCAAGACCATCTGATATCCAACCACTAAATATGGAGCCAAGAAATGCACCTCCTAAACATGTACTCACGACCAAACCTTAATTCATACAAAAACCGGCTCCTCATTCAAAGTTTCAGTAAACCTCCACATAAAAACTAGTATTAATACATCAAAAGGCAAAGGAGCACCTTCAGCCATAGTACTTCCGCTGAAGCCTAAATCTATAGAAATGCTTTCTAAAGTGTCATTAACAACCCTGAATAGCACAATAAGTTCCACAAAGTTGTTAATATTCTCAAGTTAAAGATAATCCAAAAGGAATAGACTTCAAGGAGATTAGAACAAACCCAAGATGATAACCGAATAAGAATGAGGACAAAGTTGCCACCAGAACATGTGGCAAGGGGCGTTTCCATGATGGGTTTCCAGTATCTCTCCACTCATCACTTTGTGGTTCGGCTGAAATCCATGTTAAAGGGGCACAAGGAGTTGCATAAGTGATGAATAACAACACTATGAAACAGTCTCTTCCTCTTGATTTCAGAAAAATAAACAAAATATGTACTCTCACCTAAAAATATAAATATTAACTTAAACTTTATTCATACAGACACATTACCAGAGTGTAAATAATATATATAAACAAAATGCATAGCATTGGAATTGTTCTATGCACTAAAATGTACAAGTGGAACTGATAAAACTAAACTCTATTGCAATATAAGAA